GCAGCTGGCCAGTACCATGGAAAGGCAAAGGCATGATACCGTGCACAAATTTCAAGGTACCCCTGTGGAAAGCAGAGGGCATGCTTGTTGAGAAAGATTACTCTACACTGTGACCCGTCAGGGTTCATCCATTCAGACTTGTTAGGTTACTAAAGACCCAGACTACAGGAAAAGGTTAAAACACTTGTCAGCTTTTCATTGAGCCCGGACAATCAGTTTCAATGGCACAGACAGCAAATACTGACCAAAGTAGAAGAGGTTGTCCTGGCTGTAAGAGAAGAAGGTCCCAATGGCACGAGGAGAATACAAATCCGCCCCCTTCTGAATCAGCAACTCTACCAGGTTAACGTTCTGATTGACAGCAGCGATGTGCAAGGCGGTTTGTCCTACAAGAGGATGAAAGTAGGGTGACGTTCACATCATAAGAAAATACATGTTTGGTCATACATTTAACTGACACACTAATGGTTAGTGCATGTGGCAGTTCTATGTGGCCCATGATATATTCATGACAAATTATATCCACATGAGCAATCTATGTACAGCAGAGCTTAAAATGGGAGAGGGAGAAGCAGCACAAGGAGCCAGGCAGCTGCTCATGAAGAGGGAGCAGAGTGAAAGTGAGGAACTCATCTGTCTTCTGCTTCTCCTTTCATTGTCCACTCACAGGCCGCAGAGAAACTAGACCTGGAAGGGTTACTCAACTCCAGCATAGAAAAATCAGGTCTCCTGCCCTGCCAGACAGGACTGCTGTGTGTGGCAGAGCTGTGTAAACCCCAAAACTGGATGGAAGCCTTTGACAAGTAAAACAGCTTCCTTATTTTATGTGTATGTACATTAAGCTGGAGTCCCTCTATAATTGTTATTCATGTATAGTCTATAATGTGTACAATGTGAGGGTCTGACCTTCATACAAGGTAGAGGTGACCGTCTGGTTGACCAGATCCGGGGCGGCCTCCAGCAATAGCTTTGCGGCCTCCAGATTGTCATACAAGGCCGCCACGTGCAGAGCCGTCTCTCCCACCGCTCCTAGAGGAAAAGAAACATATGAATTCACATAGAACGGTCATCAACCCGCCACATGTTGAAGAATAGACATGTAATCCGCGGGAAAATTCAGTTCGGTTATTTTGGGATTTGGATCCGAAATTCAATTCTGTTCTGGTTTCGGACGAAATCCGAATTTTTGCTAGTTTTGGATGAGTTTACCAATATTCATTGCAAATACCACAGAAAACCATATACAGATATTAAAAGGAGAACTACGGGGTAAGTGTTTTTCCCCATAGTTCTGCTAAGGGTCACGAGAGGACCTAAACTAGCATCCTCCCGTGACCCAAAGCTCAGTATATCGCAAGCTACATTACTGTCGAGATCCACCCAGCTGCGTGAGTGACAGCTGGCTCTGCCTATCTAGAGGCAGAGCCAGCTGTACCCACCCCCTCCCCGTCCGTTTCGCCAGTCAGCGCTGGAGGATCGGAGCGGGGAAATCCCTGCAGGGAGCTGTGAGCGACAGTCACGGCTCTCTACAGGAAGATGATCGAGAAGTGAGCGAGCAACGGTACGTGTTCGCTCACTTCCCGATCTACTGAGCCGACCTGTGACAGTCTCATTGTCACACGTCGGCTTGAACTATGAGGATGAGTGAAAATCACTCACATCATAGTTCTCCTTTAATACTAAAGCTGAACCTCCTAGACCTGAATGGCATTCGGGAATCTGAATTTCCGAACACCACTCGCGAGCTCCAAAAAGCAATACGCGTCTGGGAGCCATATTAAAGCCGCGGGTTCCTGAGCCAAACGAGATTCGGGAGCTCCCAAATGCTATTCGGACTCCATTTGGGTCTTGGAGCCTCAGTTTTAGTATTATGTATATATATAAGTAGTATTCTATAATACGAATGAATATTCATAGCGGCAACATTGTGACCTCTATATACATAAAACTAAACCTGAGGCTCCCAGACCCGAATGGCAATCAGGAGCTCTCAAATGCAAATCGAAAATTTATTTTCAGATCCATGCGGAGGCATTAAACCGAAGAACACATCCGATTGGCCAGAAAAGTCACATGTCCGATTCAGAGGGGATCCGAAATTCAGGAACAGAAATTTGGATTTTGACGCATTGGGATTCGGATGTGTCTGAATGCCTGAATTTCGGAAAATTTGTACAAATTTTGATGCGGAACTAAATGAAATCGCACATGTCTACTAAAGAAAACCTTGAGGGTCAACTGCTATTCAATGGCCTCTCTTCCTTTCTTCTGTGCACCCAACCCAGAGATCTTCAAGGGAGCAGACAAGTCATTCTACCCAGCCACGGAGGGCAAAAGCATGCTGGGACCCAAACTTCGCTGACATCAAATTAATTTTATACATGACCATGATGTGTGTAGAGTTAGCAATTGTGCTGTGCAGAGCTTCAACAAGCCCGGTAGTAATTACAATGCGATTGTAGTTTTTAGTCCTGACCATAATAAATACACATTACATATTCCTTATAAAAAAGGAGCGATCCCATTGGTTTACAGGATCACACAAAGAGCTACTTACCCCTGACATACAGTTCAGTGGTGGCACAATCCAGCAGCTTCCTAATTGCCCCTACGTCATTCTCCCGGGCCGCGTTGAGCAGTGGGCACTCCCGGATCCTAGACACAAAGAAAAATGTATCAATAAGATTCTCTCTATACATATCCATTATGGGGGGGGAGGAGGACGGGGGAGGGCTATAGACATAGAATTCTCTCCACACATCTTATTGCAGCTTTACAGCCAAACATGAAATACATAGGAGGAGATTTGTATCTGTCCATCCAGCTTTGAGATTTATACAGCTCTAGGTCCCTTCCCCACCTTACGACTAGACAATGAAAGGAGAAGCAGAAGACTGATGAGCTCATCTCTCCGTCATTCAGCGCTCTCCTCCTATCAGTATAACTTTTTTTCAGAAACTCATGAATGAACAGGAAGTGATGTAAAGCACTTCCTGTTCATTCATAACTGGGGACAGGATTCCCCACTGACTCTGCCCATATGGGGGGGCGGGGGTGGGAGCAAGGATCCGAGGAGAAGCTGGAGCCTGTGCCGCTACTCTTCCCCCTGCCAAGTCGCGGCTGTGTGGCCCGTTGTCATGGCGCCCTGTGCCTCACTCGCCTCATTGTAGCTGCAGCCCTGCAAGGAGCGAGAGAGGAGAGATCGTCCATATTTTGCTTCTCCTTTCACTGTCAAGTCACAGGGTGGGGGGATGGGACAGGACATCTAACTGTAGCAGAGAAAGATGAGGACTCCATACACTGCCAAACAGGGCTGTGGTGTGGGGCAGAGCTGTGTAACTCTCAGGATGGGAAAGTACTGGCTTTGAATGCTAAAATATTAGTGTGTGCACAGTACAGATACGCAATTAAAATAAATAACTACCACCCATCTCTGCCGTGCCAAGAACGCCATTTATGCGGTGCGACCAGTCTCTTATTCTATCACAAGAAACAGTTACTTGCTGGGCAACTGTGATCATTACCGCCTAAAACATCGAGCATGGAAAATGCTAGGTATGTCGGTCACCAGTAATTAAAGACCCGAGTACGTAAGAAGCACGGCCTGCCCCATATTTGCATAACTGTCAGACTAAGTAGATGGGGAAAAAAAATAAATACTAATATATATATATATATATATATACACACACACATACATACATACATACATACATACATACATACATACATACACACACACACACACACACATCCTTTTTTTTTTTTAAGGCGTCTCTTTATGAAAATAGATTTTTAAACAAGTAGTGAAAATACAAAAACTACAAAATGGATACAGCCCCAAAAAAGGCAAACACACAAAAACAACCACAAAGCCAAGACACCACGCAGCGCACCACGATCCCCACTCTCAAAACAAACCCATCAAGGAACCCTTGGCCTCAAAAGAAAAATGGGAAGAAACAGGGAATAAGTGCCACATTCACACTTCGAGGGCCACTGATCCCCTATTGTGTTGGATTTCTTCGGGCACACTCTACCTTTATAGATCAGTTTATATTTGGGAATCACATTCCCCCTCTAATTTTACAAAGATAGGAAGAGAAAGAGGACGGGGCCCCTTTAAATGCAGTATAATGACCTTCTCCTAATCTAAATTAGTACCTTATACCCCGTTTCAAATGTGTAACTATAACATTGGATATGGATATTTGGGATAGCGGTACACATTCACAGCTCGAAGTTATTATAACCCCCATACTTTTATATACAGTAGTTTGTTGTGTACATGGCAGCTTTGCCCCGTTCCACCATTCTGCCAATTAACATTCTTCAAAATTGCACAGAGGAGCTGATCCATTGGCATTGTCCGCACCGGCATGGCCACCCCACCAGATACCAACTGTCTACAAGTACATCCTCCTTT